TTACGGTATCCCTTTCCATGATTTGAATTGTGAGGTTTGGCAATTAGTCTTAATTGTTTAGACACACATATGAACTATCTAAGGCAAAGGTGTATAAGTTTAAGAGGCCTTGATAAAAGATTATCAAAGCATTAAGTATTAGAAACATGGACTTAAGAAATTCAATAGGTATTGTTTTTCTGAAAGTTAAGATGTTTATGAATACATGTCGAAGCTAGTGGGAGCATAAGTGTTATGTTTTATAATAATCATCATGATAGTGGGAGCATAAATGTTATGATTGTATGATTATTAAGGCACGTATTGCAAGTTGGCAATATTAATTATAGAAAACAAGAGTTATACCTTGCAAAGTCGTAAGGGTTGTAAAGTTGTTTTGCTATAATTAAGGGAGAGAATATTATGCTTCATTTCAAATCTAAAGGCTTAGGTTGAGAAATGTTAATAAATTTAGTCAAAGGTACATAGTGTGTTCTTAAAATTTCGATTATGATTACGACATTCCTCTTCACAATTCGAATTTTGAGAACATAGCAAATAAAACATTATGCATCGTGTCCCATACGCTTCGGGTATAGGATCGATTGCAAATGCTTTAATATTTGACCATTCTAAAATTTTCCAAATGTCTAGCGCATTTAGAGGGAAAAGGACTAGAATCGGTTTTGACTAAAATAATTAAACAACTATCAAAGGACAATCCAAAGTTCGACGAGGATTGGTTGCTTATGAGTAGTTGGAAGCATGGTATTGAATGGACCATATCGACATTATTATGAATAGAAAAGATTCTATTAATAAGTTGTCATATGGAAAATATGGAAATGTTTCCATATTGGATGGACCATATCGACATTATTACGAATAGATAAGATTCTATTAAGAATGAGTTGTCATATGGAAAATATGGAAGTGTCCATATTGGGAATTGAATATTGAAAATCTATGTCTAGATTAGAAACTTTTATGCAAAAGGATGTTCAAAGGAATGTACTTTGAGTGAGAGACATCATATCTAAGGAATTGTCTTGTAACAATCTCCGATAGAGGACTTTGTAATATCATTGGCAATAGTCTTTGTGACTTTGGTGCAGTGACATTACGAAAGGATCATTGCATAAAATGTTAGAATCTAGCATATTCTATAAGTAGCAAGAATTTGATATTCTTTCACTTATGAAAAAGGATTTGGAGTTGTGAAATGAGAATGATTGGAAATGTGTTCAATTTGATCTATTTCACAAAGTAAGAACCATAGGTAAACATTGTGTGCATGCTAGGAGCATGGGACAAGTGTAATAATTCAAGTAAGAAGTTGATTACCCGAAACGACAAATAATGAGTAATCGATATGGTGATAAATAAAAGGTGTTTTATTTATACTCAAAGGTTTGAGGCCATATGGGATTAGTATTATTCTTGTGTTTCACTTTGCATGTTTTGACTTCCTGAATAATTTAATTGGTTAAGAACAGTCAAATTATTCGAACGGGCCACAGTCGTTCATATGTTGGAAGTAGATATGAATGAAGACTGTCGTGAATTGGTGTGTGGATTGTCTAAAAGAGTATTAGACATAAGCAAATGTTTGCTGCAACGTTCATGAGTGCTTATGAATATGAATTTGAGCATTGGATTAAACCCACGCTCACTTGGATCACTCCATGAATTGTATCACGAGTGATTGGTGAGACGATAACATCTTATATTCTTGAAACCGAGATGTGTGAGTTGTATCTTGCTAATCGGTTGCACATTGATAATATGTAAACGCACTAGTAACTTGGTGTTATAAAACATATTGTTGTGTGTGATTCGGTGAGTGAGTGCAAGCAAGCATTGTATCAAAGTTTATCCGTTCCTTTTATCCAAAGTAGGATAAAAGCGATATCTTTGGGCCCCTCGATGATTTAGTGATGACAAACGTAAATGCTCGGCCGGGCTAGGGCTAATTTGATTTGTTCAATTAGTCAGTCGTCATAAATCAGCGGCTTTGGAAAGCTACGATTGCAGATCAGGATCTGAAGTCATACGCAGAATAGTTATTAGACTTATCCAAGTGGGAGACTGTTGGATTAGTGTCTAAGTCCATAACTATTTTGGTATGTACTTGACCCGATGGTGCATGGTCCTTTTGGGTTGCCTTCACCAAAGCAACTTGATAGGATGAATTATGGAGAGAAAGGATTAAATATGATTTATTAATATATTATGAGAATAATATATTAAAGGAGAAATCATATTGTTTAATTAATATTAGTCAATAATTAATTGGTAATTAGTTTTGTGACTAAAAGAGATTAATTAAACTTAAGGGACTGGAATTGTAATTATAAGATAATTGCAATTTGGGCTATGGATTGTCTTAAATTAAGGAGTGGACGAATTCTATGGGGAAGCCCATAAGGAAATCGTCCAAGGCCTTAATTAAAGGAGTCTATGGGTTGCTTAGGGCTTAAGCATCCAAATTAGGGTTTCCTTGTTAGATAACCCTAATAGCCTCACTATATATAGACCCCTTAAGGACTAAAAATAGGGCTAAGCTTTGTTCTAGGGTTTCACATGTTTTTTGGGCAGCTTCCATCCTCTCTCCTCTTCATCCTCTTGCTTATGGTGTTTGTGAGCCATTAGAGGAGTGACATTTGTGACTCTAAGCTTTCTAAAGTCAATACAAGGAGATTTGGGATTGTTATTGCTACATAACAATCAAGGTATGATCTTAAACCTATTCTCATGTTAATATGATTACTTGAATGCTAGAATTAGGGTTTATAGTCTTGGATAACTTGCATGTACAATAGAGAAACCTAGATCCAAGCATTAGGGCTTGTATGAGCATATAGGATGTTCTTATGACTAAAGAATAGTTGATCACTTGTCTTAGGGCCAACGTTTGATTTGAATCAGAGTTCGACAATGGCTTTGGAAAGCACGCTTTGTTGTTTAGTTCAAGGTTTCTACTTGCAATTGTAGTTACAGACTTATCCAACTGGGAGACTGTTGAATAAGATGTATAAGCTAGTAACTAAATTGGTATATTCTTGTAAATAAAAGCAAAGTCCTTTTTGGGTTGTCCTATAACTATAACTTGATTACAATGACATTTATAGAGAGATGATGATTTATTAGACTATTATATGATTAATAAACTAATTGGAAATTATGAGGAAATAATTTATTAATATATTATGTGATTAATATATTAATTGGAAATAGAAAATTGATTTGTTAGTTTATTATAATTAATAAATTAAGAAGAAATCAATTAGAATTAATTAATTTTTAATCAGAATTAATCATGAATTAAATTGGGATTAATTGGAATTAATTAAAGGTGAAAGGGGTGAATTGTAATTGTTCGTCATTGAGCAAGGAAAGACAATTCTAGAACCCCCATCAAGGTGGATTGTTTTGGGAGGCTTTGCAAGGTTTCCAGAAGTCTCTTAGATCATAATAAGGAAACGATTTGAATTGAGATTAAATCTATTATTTAATTACTCAAATCTTTCTTTATCCCTAAATTACCTAAACTATAAATAGAACCCCACAACTTTTAATTTTCGTGGATACTCCTCCTTGGAAGATACTCTGGCCAAAAATCCTATTTTTCCTCTATCTTCTTATCTTCTAGTTCCAGAGTTTGGGTGTGAGCCATTAGAGACATCATACTTTTGGTGCTAAGCTTTCCAAGACCAACACTACAAGGGGATTGAAGTGATTTGTTTACTACAACAAATCAAAGGTATGTAATCCTATACTTAGTAATTTTGAATTACATTAGAGTTATGATAGGTTTACTTGTTCATTGTATGTTGTTATCAAAGTGTGTGACATAGATCTTTCATAGGATGCATGTACACTATTAATTGTTAATTGTTTTACGCATCGTACAATTTTTTTTCTATAAAACCATCAGTGTGGAGGGAGAACTATCAAGTTTTACTATTGTTGGTTGCGACTGGTTGCGAACGATCACAGCCTGTCACATTCTTTTGCGATTCGTTGTGATTTGGCTCGTTGCGATTTCGTTCATTGCAATGTGATTCGTTGCGATGTTGTTCGCATTCACTTGTGGGTCATAGCGAAGAGGAGCTTGGATGCGAAAGGGATTCACATTTCGATTGGCTTGGATGCGAGAGCGATTGGCAGTCCGGAGGATTTGGATGCGAACGTGGGGTCTCGGAAGTTTAAGAGTCACCTCGGAAATGTCACGCCTCAGAAGTTTCAAGTCTCGGAAGCTGAAAAGTCAGTTTTCAATGTTGAAGCTGTTTTCCTTCTTTAGTTTTAATAAAGTCTTTAAGAGTAGTTTTACATAACACCTTTAATTGGCTAGTTATTAGAGTGTCCTTTTATTAGCTTAACCGAAATCTTTTTAAGGCTATATAAAGCTATTTTTCCTTTCAGTTGTTTTTATAAAAGTTGAACTGTTGTTCATACCGAGTTGTTGCGACAATTCAAAACTAATCTTTATTAGGACACGACTTCTAATCCTGATTTCGAACTCAAACCAATTATGTATTGGTTCGTTTTCACTGAATTTCAAGCTATATGTCTAGTTTGATGTTCATACTATCCATGGTTGCTTTATTCTTGGTTACTTTTTCGTATCATTTATCCTTTGTTCTTGTTATCCTACTGCGTATTCAAATCCATTTGGATATTATTTGTGGTTTCAAGCTCCAATTTCATATCAGTTGAGGTGTTAGAATATTTGATTCGTGTTAGTTGGATTTTGGAGCGGTCCAAACACGTACCGGATTTACAATTAAAGGACTCCTAGCCTAATAGTGATTTGGTCTTCCCTCTTTGAAATCGAGTATTCAAGTCAGACGTAAATAAATTTAAAAGTATTTTAAAAATATATTTGCTCAAAGTAAAATAAAAATAAAAAGATTTACAACCCAAACCCACGGGATCGTCTAATGCAACATAAACCAATTATATGGAAACACAAAGTCACAAAGCACGAATCTAGGGTCAATTTCAACACCTTATTTTACAAGTTAACTCTGCTTTTATTCCAACTTATGCTTTACTCCATTAGTGTTTTCAACTCTAAAAATACTTTAAAAAGAACACTTCCTGATGTTGTTGTCCACTCGCCACCTCAATCTACGCTATCATCTACTCCCATTTAATTAAAAAACTCTCCATACCCCCCACCTTCCTCCTTTTCATGCCCTAAAAATACTACTGTCTTGTCTCGTTTCTTTTTTTTTCTTGATAAACAAAAAACGATCTTTGCTTTCGCCCACCGAAAGCCCACTTGGAATTTGAATTGTATATGTCATTATTCCGGTATTTCCCCATCGATTGAAAACCATTGTCCGATGGTCAAAGATATTTCCTGTTTTGAGCAATCAAGTCAACTCAAATTCAACTAATTTCTCCACACCAGGTTCATATTCTTGATTTCCCTTCGCAGAATTTCGATCTTTATTGTTTTCGAAACATGGGTTTCTGTTAATTTGCGATATTTCAAGGGTTTGATGTGTTGTCGATTAAAAAAATCGAAACTTTCGTCTACTCAAAGCCCTAGATGTCAATTTTCGGTAAGAATTTCAAGAAACATGCTAATGTTTACTCAGGGAGGATATACAATAGCGATAGAAAGTGGATAATCCCCTTTTTTGTAAGCTTGCTCGTATGGATTACTCTAATTTCAGCTGCCATTTTTGGGTTTTATTCATCATCATCATCCTCATCATCGTACAATCACGATTCATCCCATTTCGATATAGTTTCTTTTGCAAAATCAGATGATTCAAGTGGGTTTTTTGTCGACATGAATATAGAAAAACCTAGTGAATTCCCGAAAGAAAAAGCCCCTAGATTAGCTTACCTTATTTCAGGTACGAAGGGTGATAGTAAAAGAATGATGAGAACATTACAAGCTGTTTATCATCCAAGAAATCAATACATCTTGCATATGGATCTTGAAGCTCCACCTCGAGAAAGATTGGAGTTAACAATGGCTGTTAAAAACGATCCAACTTTTTCTGAAGTTGAGAATGTTAGAGTCATGGCTCAGTCTAATTTGGTGACATATAAGGGCCCCACAATGATAGCAACAACCCTTCAAGCTATTGCTATTTTGTTGAAGGAGAGTTTGAATTGGGATTGGTTTATAAATCTTAGTGCTTCTGATTATCCTCTTGTGACTCAAGATGGTGAGTTTGAAATTTCCATATCATTATATGGTTTATTATCATTCAACTCATGAAATTTATAACATTGATATTTGGATGCTATTTGTTTAGGTGTTTTACATTCAACGTTTTTCTTCGTAGAAATAATGATGCGATTGTGTGTGGAAAAATAGGAAAACGAAATGATAACCTTAAAATGAATAATGTAGGTAGTGAATAGTGATGCTTTTTACCTTTAGATACTTAGGTGTTGTTTATTTTTGACTTATTAGAGACTTAATGCAGAAAGAACGACTTAATAGAGAAAATCGTCATTTCCCTGACTTTCTGTGTTATGTTTTTTTCTTTATGTATTAAGACAAAAAGAAACACTCATATATAGCTTATAGTATTAAGTCTGTCTCCATTAAGTCCATTAAGTAAAAAGAAGCAACATTGTAAAAATGATCTTAGGATGATTCTTTCTATCTTTGTTCTTTTCACACATCATTGTAAAAACAAGAAGCATTAAAAACAAATAATGGTATACTTGTAGTTTGTCAATTTGGCTACATCTACATGTGTTGCTAGAATATTGTTATATTTTTTGTTAGGCTTAAATGGAAGACATAACAACATACTTTCATTTGTTTATTTAGTAATTATTACATCATCCTACTTTCATTATATATGTTGTTAATTGTTACATTTTAATTACATTCTAATAAATTGCTCATGTTTAATCATGTAGATCTACTTCATGTTTTCTCTAATTTGTCAAGAACTCTCAACTTCATCGAACACACAAAGCTTACAGGATGGAAATTGTAAGAAACAAGAATGTACTTTCATAGACTTGATTATTATTATTATTATTATTTTTAAATCTTTCAAAAATAATGATAGTTTTTGATACGTATTTTCTTGTAGGAATCAAAGGGCAAAGCCGATTATTGTGGACCCCGGTCTTTATTTGTCAAAGAAATCGGATCTTGCAATCACTTCACAAAGAAGATCTCTTCCTACATCTTTTAAATTGTTCACTGGTAAGTAAGATATCTAATTCTGGATATAATAAGTTAAAAGGATAAAATACAAAAAATAAATCATTATGCTTTTTTGAAAATAGTTAAGTTGCTATATAAATAATTAAATATAATGGTGAAAGTACTAGAGCTTTTCTGCATTTTGCCTCAAGTTATAAAGCTCTCTGCATCTTCTAAAGAAAATTGATGTATGTTGACTTTGACTTTTTGGGTCAAAATTATAAATTCAAAATTGACAAGGATTTTTCAGTCTTTTCAATAAAATTTTGATGGTTATACTATTTTTGAATGTTATTGTAAAATATATTAACATTGGTGATAGGTTTGATTTCAATAGCCATAATAATTTCAAATTTGAAAAGTAGTTTTTTGTTTGACTTTGACCTAAAAGTCAACGTTTACATCTCTTTGTAAGGAAGGGAGTCGTAAAAGCTTTTTACTTTCTACCAAATACAAAGCAATTTTCACTGCTTTAACTGAATAAATTTGTAAATTTAGTCCTTGCAATTTTTTTAATTTACAGAAAAGGTCTATGTAAACTTTCTTCTTTTTTTCTACAAAAACAGTGCATATGTTTAAGATTTTTGTATTTTGGCAGGTTTGACCCCTGTGTATAAAATAAATTACAAAAATTGTCCCTGTAATTTCCAGAAAATGTTATGTATTTTGTTTTACAGAAACGGTCGATATGTTCAAAAAAAAATTACAAAACTTTTCCCCATAATTCACAGAAAATATCATTGTGTAATTTTTATTTATTTAGAGAAACGGTCCATATGTTTAAAAAAATTACAAAAATAGTCCCTACCTAATAGAAAATTTACAGATTTAATCCCTACACTTTCATATGTGGGCAACTTTCGTTTCCCCATTAGCCCTAAAAACAAATAAAGACAAATTCTAAATAAGTTAGGACTTAAATGCAAAAACCCTCATGATTCCTTTCACAAGTTAATAAAAGAAACACTTATATATAGCTCTCTGAGTCTACATTAAAGTTATGTTTGGCATACTAGCTAGCTTTTCAGCTGATAGCTGAAAAACTTGTTAAATAAAAAGGTAGCTGATAAAAATAACGTTTAGTAAAAACTAACCGAAAGATATATAAAATGACATAAAAACATTTAAAAGAATAGGTTTCTATAATTATTTAAGGGATATATTTGGAAAGATTTTAAAAAGCTCCTAAAAGATTAGTCTAAGTAGCTTTTTAAAAAGCTAGCTTATAAGCTACTTTTAGCTTGCCAAACATAACAACTTAAAAAAGCTCGAAAAATAAACTTTCTTATCAGCTAGCTAGCTGTGACCCGCCAAACACAGTCCGAGTCAACAGTAACTTACAATTTTTATTTTTTTCCACAATATAATAGGCTCGGCATGGGTAATGCTAACAAGATCATTTGTGGAATATTGCATTTGGGGATACGATAATTTTCCAAGAACTATCTTAATGTACTACACAAACTTTGTGTCTTCACCCGAAGGCTATTTCCACACAGTTATTTGCAACACGGAAGAGTTCACAAAAACCGCAATAAGTCACGACCTTCATTACATCGCGTGGGACACGCCTCCAAAGCAACACCCGCGTTACTTGACCATTAAAGACTTTGAAAAAATGGTGAATAGTAGCGCGCCATTTGCAAGAAAATTTCAAAAAGATGATGTAGTTCTTGACAAGATTGATCAAGAGCTTTTGGGTCGAACCCATCGGTTCGGTCGTGGTGCGTGGTGCGTGGGTGCCTCGGACCGTGGCTCGGACCCGTGTGCGGTTCGTGGTGATGATTCGGTTTTTAGCCCCGGAAAGGGCGCGGTGAGGTTGAATGAGTTGTTTGCGGAGCTTTTGTCGGATGATTTTGGAAGTAAAACGTGTCCTTCGTGAAGAGGGGTTAGATTTTGGGAAAGTGTACATTGTTTTTTATAGATTGAAAGTTGATTTTTTTTTTTTTTTTTTTTGGTAAAAATTGCAAGTTGTAAAGTTTAAAGAAATCAATGCAAGTATCTTTTTTTCTTAATACGGGTTGAGGCCCTTTTTGTTTGTTATGTGTTTGTTACATTGGACACTATACAACATGATTAAAGTTTTGGATATGAGGTTGAAATGTAAAGCTATATCTACATGTTATAAATATTTATTACGAGTATTCATAGTATTTTGGTGCTAAAATGAGTATGGCTTCCATATGTGTGGTGTTATAAATTAATGATTTAACTAATATCTGGTTTTTTAGTCGACTTGTTCAAATCTGGTTTTCAGAATTTTTTATAATAAATAGTTTTAATATATTATTTGTTTTAAAATGAATATAGTATCTTACTATGCATATAAATTAATGAAAGAATTTTAACGATTCATTAAATATTTGAAATAATTATATTTTTTATGTTACATAATCTCATAATTTGTAAGAACTCTTATGTCCAATAAAAAAATCACTAACTTACGTTTATATAAAGATATTGTTAAACATTAAAAAAAATCTTATTTGATTTTTGATACATGGGTATAGTTCACTTCTATAATATTATATCCAATAACTTCTTTTGTAATTCATCAATGTTATTTGATTTAAACATTAAAAATAACATAACAGTGGGATTAATCTGGGTTATGGGTTAACGGTTCAACCATATTTTTAATAAACCCGGTTAGTTAGTCCAAGTCATAAATAGGTATAAATCCGTTGTTTTGTTTTGTTTTTTTTTTTTTTTTTTCAGCAGTCTAACTCGGTTCAATACTATAAGATGTTATAATATTTTATCAACACCAAATTTGGTGTTAAAAGTCTATAATGTCATTTGTAGTCCTTCAAATTTAAGTTTATATGTATTTAGTTTATTTTAGTTATTTAAAATTTGAGTTTATATTACGAATTAATTTAATTGTACAACAATGTTTCTTTTATAGGCATTCAAATAAAGATCGATCGAATACATAATTTTATAGTTGCTATTTTGCTAAAAATTGAATGTTACATCAACATAAATACATTAAAATATCATATCATTCCAATTCAAATTCAAGAACAATTCAAATCCAAGTAACTTTGAATAATCTCTTCTTGAGAAAGATCCGTAAAATACCCTTTCCCAACCGATACACCCTCCTCCAAACCCGCCTTTTCAACCGCACCCTGAACCCTGTCGCCACCAACCGCACCCGGGTCCAACAAATTACAAGCCACCTCAATAACCTCACCATGAACCAGAGCCATAGACTGAACCGAAGTGAGCCCACCCCCTCTCTGACTCACCCTTTTCGCAATCCTTCGAACCGTTGCCATGTCAGCACAAAACACGGGCACGTTGTAGTTATCGACCCACTTGGTTGCACCGATGGTGATCACGCCTTTGGATTGAACCACGTGGGCTGGACCATGGTCCGGTTTGAGTGGTAGAACCATGGACCGTGGTCCACCGGACCAGTGGTGTGTGGTTGTGTTAGGGTTGAAGTAGCCGAAGGACCTTCTGATGGAGTCTAGTGATCTTTCGGTGTCATGAGCAGCTCCGTATGTGTAGGTTGGGACTGTAGGCTATGTTTGTATATATTAGCATAGCCTTTTGTTATGACTATATACTGTGTATTGTGTACTGTGTACTGTGAGTTATGATGTGATTTGATAAAACGGTGGGGACCTTTTTTTTGTTCGCTATTATAGTATTGTATTTTGAATTTTTTTTCTTATTAAGATATTTTACTTTGAAGTACAATGCAGTATTGGAAAAAAAATTAAAGTAAGATGCTATAATAAACAATTTAAATGAAAGTATTTTGTTAAATATAATGGTTGAAAAACTCTATCATTCATTTGAAATAGCATGAAATGATTATTGAAAATGTTTAAGCTTTGGTTTTCAAAAAAAATAAAAAAAACATTGATCATTTGTGGGGAATTTATTTTGGGAATATTTTTGATAAAGTCCTTTTTTTTTAACAGAAAAGTCTAATTATTTAATATTCTGCCCAAATTAACGATAAAGTTGTTATTTTTATTTTAACATGAAAGTGAAATCTCCAATAAAGTCTCAATATTTTTGTTCAATTTACAGTTTCCTCCCAACTTTTATTTTTTGAACAAAAAAAATCCCGATTATTTTATATTTTGCCCAAATTAAGGAAACAATCCTTATTTTTTTTAACAGAAAATGACATATTATCGTATAAAATTAGATAATCGTGATTTTTCTGTTAAAAAAATAAATGTTCATATTAAACAGTAAACTGATCCAAAATATTAATGACTTTATCGGAGATTATCGAATAATTAATCAGGATTTTTCTATTAAAATAACACGACTTTTCTGTATATTTCCCTTACCATAATTGACCCATAAACATTACATATTAGTTAAGAAATCAAACCTTTAAGTATGGATCCAATATCTACAGCAAGAGCTTTGGCAATTCCAGCAACTTGTTCAAGTGATGTTGAAGCTAATGGATGAAAACATATATGATCAACAACCCCAAGCCTCGGATGAGTTCCAGTATGCAATCCAAAATCAATGGCTTCAAAAGCCGATTTCACCATTGAGAAAACAGCATGCTTTAAGGGACATGAATCTGGAGAGTTTTTTGAGACAAGTGTGTATCCTACTCTGTTATATTTCTCATCTTCAAATTTATTGACAATGGCTGCCTCTGGAAATAGTTTTGCAGCTTGTTCAATTGATTCGAGAGCAGATTTGTTTCGTGTCTCCGATATGTAAACTTTGCAACAGGAAAACATCGATTTAAGCATTTCTGTTCATAGGACCCAATGAACATTAATACGGATTGGGATGAGATGAGTAGCTTGAACAAACGGAATTGTGGGATTCATATTGCAAAAAAGATGTGAAATTTACTAATTAAAAGCACAGAAAAATGAGCAATGCTTACTGGATTCGTTCGACGATTGTTTTATTGTGTGGGAAGAATGATGGATCGATTTATTCGGTTCTTCAAAACCCTAAAAGTTTGGTGGAAATTGATACACAGCGGACATTATCAATCGTGGCCGGTTGTGAAGTAATGTGCAGCAGAAGAATTGTCTTTTGATGGATTTGTGGGTGGGAATCATGAGTTCCCATATCCAATACCTCATCCCTAAATTGAATATAACAAGTTCAAATAAATAAATAAATAAATAAAAGACATGTATGTCTAATTTTAAAAAAAATGATTAGAAGTTTAACAAGTTATCAAAATACCTAATAATAATAATAAAATATATTATTTTAATTATTTTCTTTCAAAACAATGTCAGTGTTGGTTGCATTTCTCATGTGAGGTCATATTTTATAGATGACGTTAATTTTGTAGATGATATTTGTAAAATTGAATTTAGATGATCGAAGTATTTTTTAAAATGATTGATGGTATTAGATATATATCTTTTAATCTTCATTTTATATATACCCACATAACCAATCAAATTATCAATTGTCACAGAATACTACTAAGCCCGTGAAACATTTAATTTATGCGGAAAATACAATTCCAATACGTGTTAAAATATTTAAATATATTTTTGTGTAGAATCAGGCCCTAAAGTACAAAAATATTGAGTTTTAGTTAAAAGTGCAAGATAATATTCAATTTAATAATCATTATATGTTTAAATACAACCTCACAAAGCGAGGACTTCAAAATATCTTTGCTATCTTCTAAGCAAAAGTCAAGATAATTAAGTAATGGAAGTGCCTAGTGAGAATATATGAGGTTGAGGCATTTTGAAAAAGAAGATAACATTCTAACTTATTTGAATCAAACCTCCAAAATCAATATAAATAATCAAATACCAAAACTATTATAAACCAAATTGTAGAGTACTAAGACTTAAATAATCAAGAGCAAAGGGTAAGTAAACCTATATAAAAACAAGGATATAACATCCATGAACCAAAACCCCAAGAGTTTAATAACTCAAAATTTATATCTAAAGAAGGTATTATCCAAACCCAATATCAAGGGTTTACTAACCCACAACTGATAACAAGTGAATTAGTATTCCATAATCATAAACAAAAGGTTAATTAATAAGTATCCCACACCAAATCAAATTAAGGTTTAGAAATACTCAAACCAAACCAAAAGGGTATTATACTTTAATGCTACACACAGTTCTAAAAATAGCCAAAAAGGGTAATTGATTAGCAAATATTTACAAAATCATATCAAACTCCCAAAAGGGTATTTAAGGAGTAATTCAACAACTCAATATGTAATGTGTGCATCTATTCCTAACTCTTGTCCATCTTATAAAGTCCAAATTCCCAAACTAGTTAGGTTTAACTTGAGATTCACAAACGATGAACTACCTTCCGACTTTTACCTCAAGCCTTAGACTCATGAGTGGTGGACTACCACATAACTTTTGTCTAAGTTCAAATAAGAACTAGGGAACCATCAACTCTAACTCACACAAGAGGTAACGAGCCTTTACTTAAGTACATGAGGGTTATCTATAAATCTCTTAACAATAAATTAAACAAATAATAATCAAATCCGAGTACCTGAGATATTTTAGTTAAACCATCCTAGGATGTATTCAACAAGTAGAATGCTCAAAAACATTTAAAAAATATGCATATATTTTCTTAAAAATGATGGATATCACTAAATGATTTCATGAAAGCAAGTAAGTACTAAGGATACACATATAATAAGTAATGCAACAATAAACATGTCAAATGAAACCAAATTCCATGATATATATATATATATATATATATATATATATATATATATATATATATATATATATATATAAAACTTAAAAAACATTTAACTATTTTAGGACAAGAAAGTCTTAAATCTAAGTAGTACAAAATATGAAGAATGAATTACAATTACTTAATGCATAATAGAATACACACAGACATCATAAATATTGCTAGCTGGAAGACATAACTTTTGAAATGCTCAGTCAAACAAAATGTAAGGCTCCGTTTGATAGTGGCTGATTGAGAAA